TCAAATACATGAAGAGGTATTGTTCTGAATTCTCCGTCACTGGTTCCTGCAATAAATACATCATAAATCTCACAAGCAGTAATATACACTACCGTTCAACTATTTGGGTCCAAAAAGATTTTTTTTAAAGAAATGTATTTTTTTCTAAACATTGATGCATTAAATTGATCAAAAGTGACAGTAAAGACATCTATTATTTTACCAAGAAATACCTATACCTACCTTTTTAAACTGAAAAAAAAAATATCACAGTTTCCACACAAATATTAAGCAGAAGAACTATTTCTTGAGCTGCAAATCAGCATATTAAAATGAAGTATCATGTGACACTGAAGACTGGATTAATGATGCTGAAAATTCAGCTGTGACATCACATATAACATATTTAAAAAATATACTAAAATAGAAGTTATTTTAAATTGTAATACTATTATTATTGTAATATTATTTCCATTTTTGCTGTATTTTTGATTAAATAAATACAGCCTTGGTGAGCATAATAAGCTTCTTTCAAAAACATAAAAAATCTCACCAACCCCAAACTTTTGAGCAGTAGTGTACAACCCCATTTCCAGAAGAGTTGGGACATTTTGTAAAATGCAATAAAATCAAGACTCTGTTATTTGTTAATTCACTTGAACCTTTTTTTAACTGACAAAAGTACAAAGAAAAGTTTTCCGATGTTTTCACTGAACAACATAATTGTATTTTGTAGATATAAACAAATTTTGATTTTGATGGCTGCAACAAACTTACAAAAAAGTTGGGACAGAGGCAAAATAAAAGTGAAAAGATTATCAAAGTTAGATTATCCAACTCTTTTGAAACAGTCCACAATGAGCAGGTGAATTAGTAATCGTGTTTGGGTGTAAAAGAGCTTCTCAGTCTTTGCAAGCAAAGATGGGTCATGGCTCACCACTTGGTGCCAAATATCATGAGAGAATTGTCAAACAATTCAAATATTCCATTTCTCACAATTTCTCAAATTACGCAAGGAGAAAGCTATACATCAGATCTATGCGGAGATGCCGGCGAGTTCTCTGGGCCTCAGATGGTTTAAAGGTAGGGTAGGTCGTTTTTGGTCTAAAAAACTTTTTCACAAATTTGTTTAAACTTTCTATATATATCAATGCATAATTAAAATGTAAGTACTCTGATAAAAAGAGTATAAAAATCGAGTGACTCTAGACCGTTTAATCTGCACTAAACACAGCTCATTATTTCCTTCCGGGACGAAACAAAGGATTGGCTTAGGCGACTGTCACTCTCTCGCAACCATGGCAACACCCCCGCTGCTACATGCGCTGCCCACATGCGCGCACTCGTTTGACTCGAGGAGGGTAAGAGACTAGTAAGAGACACAATTACATGCAAAACACGGCGTATATGTTATGAATCTTACACGAAATTCACCTTCATCACAGTGTAACTGATTGTAATGGGAAAACGTGTATCAATGCAACCTGTTTTTAGCTTTGCTTTATGTTACTAGCTCGTTAACGAATCAAACTCAATATATTTTAAACTTTACCAGTATCGATATGCTAGCTTGATAGTGAGTACTAACAGCCATGTTAGTTGTTTATATTCATAATGATAAAGTTAGGTATTTTATTACATGTGAGTCTGATATGATGTCACTACATGCACTGCTCCTCTCTGCTCGGCGCTGGTAAGCGCGTCCTCCAGCTGTGAGCTGTCGGCATCGCGCGTTCATGTGTTTTGGGGGCGTGGTTTTTGGAAGGAGCCCAGAATGGAGGGGGTGGAAGTGAATGGAGATAAGTAGCTGTGTTTATTACAGCCCTGAGAGGACTACAGACACTCGATTTTTATACTCTCTTTTCCAGAGTACTTACATTTTAATTATGCATTGATATATATAGAAAGTTTAAACAAATTTGGCAAAAAGTTGTTAAAAAAAATTCTACCTACAATACCTTTAAAAGACAGTGGAAATGTGTGCTGTGGTCAGATGAGTCCATGTTTCTGCATTCTCAATCCCAAAGACAAAAAGGACCATCCAGACTTTCATCAATGACAGGTGCAAAAGCAAACATCTGTCCTGGTATTGGGGTGCATCAGTGCAAACAGCATGGGTAACTTGCATATGTATGAAGGTACCACTGACGTGGAGGCATATATTAAGATTGTACAGAAACATTTAATGGCATCAAGATGGCATGTGTCCTGGGAAGCAAGACAATGCCAGGCCTCATTCTGCACATGCTAAAACTAGTGGTTTCTAAACATACAACGACGACCACCTACTGTTGAGCAGATGTCTTTTATCTGGCGAGATTGGGTGTATTTTTTTTTTCTTTTTTTTTTTTTTAAACCGAATGATTAAAAAGTGTAAAAAAAAAAAAAAAAGGAAAGGTGATGTGACAGTGGTAAACATGCCTCTGTCCCAACTTTTTTAGAGTTTGTTGCAGGCATCAAAATCTAAATTTGTTTATATTTCCAAAATAAAATTAAGTTGGTCAGTGAAAACATTGGAAATATTTTCTTTGTACATTTGTCAGTTAAATGAGAATTTAATGGTTCAAGAGAATTAACAAATCACCAATTCGATGTTATTGCATTTTACAAAATGTCCCAACTATTCTGGAAATGGGATTGTAGATCGATTGGACCTTCTGATGATTTGAACTGTTCATTTCAGACTTATGCAGCAGTCCTCCGAGTCAGTATGGAGCATGGCCTTTGACTTCATCCTTGACAATGTGCAGGTGGTGGTACAGCAAACCTATGGTAGCACTCTCAAGATCACATAGGAGGACCGTCCTAACCTCAGTCACTGTGACGTCAGCCCAGTCCTGCCACCTCGTCATGATGTGTGAGAGAGACAACAAAACCGCTCGAGTCTGACAATTGTAGCATTGCTTTCCTTTTTGTGAAATCACCCAATAGAGCTTCTCTGAGGACATCTGAGGATTACAAGATCAAGCCAATGATGATGAGGAACAGATGAGCATACCAGCTTTATTCACAAGCAGTGGAACACTGAATATTTCTTTCATCATGATGTCAATTCTCTAGACTGATGTCTCTAGAGGAACTTTGGTAACACTTTTCAGTCAGGTTGTATTTGTTAACATTAGTCAATGCATTAAGTATAATGAGCTAACAAGGAATACTTTTTGACAGCATTTATTAATCTTGGTTAATGTTAATTCACAAATATATCATTTTTCTATTTTTTACTTCGTAGTTGATAATGCATTAACTAATATTAACATACATTTGTAACATTTAAATATATATAAATGTAGAAATTAACATTTTACAGCACGTATTAATCTTGATTAAAGCATCATTGATTTTTAGTTGGTTAACTATTAATGTGTACAACCTGAGTGTAAAATGTCACCAGAACTTCTTTGAATGTTTTGAATGCACTGACTGTCCTAAACTAAGCAAAGCAAGCCACTTTGCTTCCTATTTGGATCTGTTTTTCTTTCTCGTCTTAATTGTCAGCATTTTGTCCTCTTGTACCCCAGAACCTGTGTTTATTTTGAATGTCTGGCCTCAGAAATATGTAACAGACTTTGCAGCAAAGCAGAATGGAGTGGCATGTAATTTGCCTTTTATGGGTCAGACTGAGATGTTGAAAGTGGAAATAGGGAAAACAGAATCAAAGTCTTTTGGCAGTTTAGCATGTGGATACTAACATTTTATGTAAAGCTAACATTTGTTTTCCTAGATTAAAATATATATATATATATATATATATATATATATAAATATTACGGTACACCTGCTCATTGATTGTTCATCATGATGTATGTTTGTCCGTATGTCTGAAAGAGCTAAAAGAGAGATGAATATTTATGAAGAAAAAGATTAAAAAATTGGCCAGGTTAATTTTACTAAATTGAGTTTCAACTGTCCTGTCATGCTTCTTAGTCCTGTTTTCTATGGATATGGTGCTGGAGGAAAGGAAGGGTTTTTCAATTAGATGGATGTGAACTGAATAATAGGTCAAAGATGGATACTTCAGTCTACATTCCTAATGAAGCATTCTCCTCTCAATTCCTTTTCACTGTAGTTTTGACTTTATGTATGAACAGAATGTACTTGACTCCTCAAATGTTTTAAGTTGATACTTTCTTGGTTTTAAGAAGCTGCTCATGAGACATCTGTTATTATCTCACATTATCATGGCATTACAGAGATGAGGGCCTGAAAAACCATATTTGGTCAAAAATCTGTAATGACAGAATGACCTGTGCCTGAAGACCAGAAGCTGTGACATCATTTGTATGTTTTCTAAATTTGCAAATAAATTTGAATAATTGATATGGTCTTGTTTCTTTTTTTTTTGTGTGTATGTATTTATAATTTGTGGATCAAGCTAACATTGATCCACAAACAATGTCACTAACAATGATAGTGTAACAGCAAACATCTTAAACTAATTAAATAAGATTCTAATGAAAGGATAAAGACAAAAGGCATTTGTCTCTGAAATCTGTAATTTAATAACACTTAGGAAAGTTTTAGCTTTTAGTGATGTATATTTATAAATTAATATTTAATATTCTGATGGTGCAAACGAAGAGGCAAAATTTAAATAGAAGATAATGATTGATCAAATATGTCCAAATACACAAATTCAAAACAAATTTTACAAAGAAAAAAAAATAGACTGATCTAATGTAAATTTCAAAAAAGTTAGAGCATATTATACTTCCCATATATATTGTATTACTATTTCGATTGTCCTGCACATACTTTTAAAAGGTATTTCTAAAATGTAGCTTTTGTGTAATGTTGCAAAATACTGCAGTTATTAACTATTATAACTAGTGTAACTGTATGGTTACCATGGTAGATGTCTGTAAGGGTAAGCCAGAAAATAAAAATGAGACGTGAGATTTTTGCAAAATGAATTAAACTATGTGACTTACATCTGCACTGAATTTTATGAAAAAAACAATACAATAGATATTTTTATTTTATATTCCTACTGAAATGCGTCGAAAGCGCTACGATTGCATGACGTAATCAGGTGACGCCTCTACGTAAACCCTGCGTCAGTCACTGTGTCGCCTTCTAGAAATTATACAGACTTGGTAAGTGTTTTTCCGTAACATATTTTTCTACAAACTCTGCATTTTAAATTGTATGTCAGTTAAATGACCCCTATCTTGTTGTTGCTTTCTGGAGAGTGTGTCGCTTGCCGATTAACTACGCTACAGTCTTTGTTGGCGATCAAAGCTTCCGTTACCACGGTGTTTGAAAGCCAAAGCAATACGCTAGCATTAGCACGATTTGACGCAAAGCCCCACATATCCGTTTTAAAATCATCAGTCATTATTTACAAGAGCTTATTGTATTTTAAAATCAGTAATTATAGGTGAGACAATAGGAACCGGAGAAGGTAAGCCAAGTTGGCATGCTTGTCTTCATGCGGTTGTAGTAGTCAAGCAGCGCTGGCCGACTAACTTACCCGCACCTCTATTGTTGTGTACGAACAACAGAATGCCCATCAAAACCCCGACGACTATTGATTAACGTGTGCCACACATAGGTGCCACACCTTTCACACAAACAGCTTCTTGCTTTACTTCGACAGACACCTTAAAACCATTCACTTTAATACCATTAAAGGCACAAATCCCACGTTGTTGTGAGACCTGTTAGATGTGTGATAAACAGTTATTTTGCAGTGTAAAAAAAAATTAGTTCAAAAAGTAGCTTGTTTTAATTTACTTTAATCATTGTTTTACTAAATTCACTATTATTATTTTTTAACGTGGATTATTTAAGTAATTCCATCCAATATGTGCTGTATGTCTAACAGGAAATGGCCAGTCAGTCAATGGAGGTTGTTGCGAAAGCTCTGGAGCAGCAGGTGCTGCAGTCGGCACGGATGGTGGAAGAGCAGCTGGATGCAGAACTAGAGAAGTTGCAGACCATGGATGAAGATGACCTGGATCGGCTCAAGGAGAGAAGGCTCGAGGCCCTCAAGAAAGCTCAGAAACAGAAGCAGGTGGGTGTTCTAAACATATTTAAAGAACCTAGCTCTAAATTCGGAGCTTGTTTTAAGTTTATTATTAAAATGCTTATTCAAAATAAGTTATCTACATGAGGTGTTTATTAGTGCATTGAAGCAGATCAGATTCCCCCTATTGATGTGTTTAAACTTTGTAAACTGTGGTATGTGTGTGTCCTCAGGAGTGGATATCTAAAGGACATGGTGAATACAGAGAGATCCCAAGTGAGAGAGATTTTTTTGCTGAGGTGAAGGAAAGCAAAAGTGTCGTCTGCCATTTCTACAGAGACTCTACCTTCAGGTATTTGAGGATATATTTGTTTTCTTTTGGTTTCCTTGGATCCTTGTGTTATGAATCAATTGTGTATAGAGCTATTTTCAGTGTTTGTTTGTTTTTTTCAAAGATGCAAAATTTTGGACAAGCACCTAGCTGTCTTGGCTAAGAAACATCTGGAAACAAAGTTCATCAAGCTGAATGTTGAGAAGGCTCCATTCCTAACGGAGAGGCTGAAGATTAAAGTCATTCCAACACTGGCTCTGGTCAAGGATGGGAAGACTAAGGATTACATTGTGGGCTTCACCGATCTGGGCAACACAGATGAGTTTCCAACCGAAATGCTGGAGTGGAGACTGGGCTGCTCAAGTATCATCAACTACAGGTGTGTGTGTGTGTGTGTGTGTGTGTGTGTGTGTGTGTGTGTCCACATTAAGTCCTTGAATTTGAGGGTAATGGACCTGGAAAGTCCTTGAAAGGTCCTTGAATTTGAATTTAACCAATGTGTGGGAACCCTGATGCATTGTATATGTATGGTGGGATTAAATCGCATACTTATCATGAAATTAAGCATACATCATTTATCTTGTTTGACGTGTTTATTTTGTCATCGTTTGCTATATACAGCTAAATAAAAAGATTGAAGGATGATTCTCAAAAATCTGTATTTTCTGCAAGCTTTTTTCAAGGTAAATTTAGGTGTCTTTCCAAAAAAGGCCACTTGGTGACTCCAAAAGGACACATAATAACCAAATGATAATATCAAAGAGCTTGTTTAGAGCTGGTTTGCTTTATCCAACTGAGAATCTTAGTTTGTATATAATCTGGCCATACTGTGGTTGGTTGTTTTGAATTTCCATTCAAGTCTGTATTTCACACAGCATGATGCGTGAGTGCTCGTGCTCTTCAGAAACAACCACAGAATATGACAGAGCTCGTGTTTTAAAGCTACACAGATGCTGGAATGAATAATTCGCTGAAAACGGATCACAAGTCTTTATTCTCTCTGCCATATCTGATGTAATCAGCCTGGTTTTCTTTACATTAGGCGCTTGTTCTTTTTTAATCTCTTTCTCGCCATGAATATAACCAGGGTAGTTGGCATAAAGTTAAAATTATAAACAAACAAACTTTACATTAGCGCTGTTTTGGACTGATTGTTCGAATGAAATCACTTCCTAGATAATTGGGACTGAAAACGTTCCCAATTTGGTAGTAATTTCCGCCTACCAGGGTTACAGGTGCTTGCCCCATTGTTGATGGTCAGTGTGATAAACTCCCGACTACATCGTTTTTAGTAAATAACGCAATTTCACATGCTTCAGTGATTTATTTGCGTTTAATAATTTTAGTGTATTAAGGATTTTAATTTTGAATTAATCGGATGTGTTAACGTTGACAGTTCTAATATATATACATTTTCTAAGGCTCATATTTTATTTTTCATACTCACTCTAAAATTTAAAATAGGAAACTTTTTTCTATTTAAATATATTTTAAAATGTAATTTATTACTGTGATGGCAAAGCTGAATTTTTTAGCATCATTCAGTCTTTAGTGACATCAGAAATCATTATGCTGATCAAACATTTATTATTATCAATATTGAAACTGATCATTTTTTCAAAGATTCTTTATTAAATACAAAGTTGATAAGAACAGCCTTTATTTTAAAAAAAATATACATTTTTGTAATGTAAATGTCTTTACTGTCACTTCTGATCAATTTAATGCACCCTTGATTAAAGTACTACTATCTTTTAACAAAAAAATGTTCTAACCCGCATACGCACGTAAATAGGCCTCTAAATCAGTGGTTCTCAACCAGGGGGCCTCAAGATGACTTAAAAATGTTTAAAAGACAAAATAAGCTAAAACAACATAAAAATCAGGATGATCTTTTTGGTTATTTTTATAGAAAAAATATACATCTTTCTAGATAGGCCAAACTCTAAAATATTTTATCAGGTTGAAATTGTGAGGAGGGTCAAATATTGTGGACAATGAGGGGACCTTGAAGACAAAAAGGTTGAGATCCACTGCTTTAATGGTATATTTATATACACTATCATTTTTACAAACTGCTTTTATATTTGTATCCTTTCTCCATCTAGTGGGAATATTTTGGAGCCACCAACAATTGGGCAGAAGTCAGGGACAAAGTTCACCAAGGTGGAGAAAAAGACCATCAGAGGCAAAGGGTATGACTCGGATTCTGAATCTGATGAGGATTAGAGGACCAAAACATCAAGCTCCGTCTTTCTCAGGGCTTCCAACATAACAGTCCTAAGTCTTGTAACACCTCTTTGAGATCACTTGTTTTCCTTGCCATTTGTGTCTCTCACCTTTGTCCTATGTTTGATACTTTTATGATAACCAAATACCACCTATTTAATTCATATTTCTTTACATGTGTTTTAGAAGTGAAACATTTGTATGGAGCATCATACTAGTGAAGGTTCACTCTCTTTAGCTCTTATTAAAGGTCCCGTTCTTCATGTTTTTTTGAAGCTTTGATTGTGTTTACAGTGTGCAATATAACATGTGTTCATGTTTCGCGTGTAAGAAAACAGTATTTTTCACACAATTTACTTATCTGTATACCGCTGTTTTCACTGTCCAAAAAACGGCCTGATGACTTCCTTGTTCTATGAGGTCCCTCCTTCATAAATACGTAACGAGTTCTGATTGTGCCAGCGGTTCCTGTGTTGTGATTCGACAGCAGCTTATCGCACGTAAATAGGCCTCTTACCATAAATTGGAGATGCATGCGCAGCTGAAGTGCTTCTTCTCCGTGGGAGCGCAACAAGACCACCCCTTTTTTGTGTATTCCTGTGGGCGGAGATTAGTCAAAAAACTGTTCTAGTCAGTCCCTCCAGAAAAACGCGATTATGCGATCGCTGAATTCAATGCAAAATCAGCCAAAGTCCGCATATTTTCAAATACTCCGCAATTTCGCCGCATAAATTGCTGATTTCCGCGCAAAATATGCGGGGCTTGCATGATTTCATAATCCCCGCATTTTCGTCGCAAAAAAGTCACATATATCTTAGCAGAAAGTTGGAAAATGTTGCGTTTGCTTCACACAAGAGCAGCCACTTCCCCCTGTTGCCATGGGGACGTTATGAAGTGACGTAATTACGCGACGTGAACACCATTGAAAAGCTGTAAAACAGGAGCACACATTTTTTTTTGAATATTTCATTTATTCATTTTTACTGAAGCTGTAGCATATTCCTCTAGTAAAGCTACAGAACTGGTTTGACTCAATGTTTTGTAAGTTTAATGTGTTTATTAAGGTCTTGTAACGCGTTGTGTCGGAAAGAAAAATAGGGATAGCTCACAGCTGAAGTTATTGCAGAGGCCAGACAGACTCACGGAGGCGATTGGCATCTCACAACTCGCACTTTATTCCCAAATCGAACTCGTAACTGTCTGTCACACGTTCTACCGTCCACATCGTTACTTAATAAACAAAATAAGATAAAAGTAGCATCAAACAGAAATTACCCGCACACATGGGGTGTTCGAGGCGCATGGCACATACAAATATAATACTGCAGACAGTTGGGAGCGCGCAGCTCTTAAAGGGGCCACACCTTATTTCCACTCGTTACAGTCTGAAATAAAACAAGATGAGAAATTAAATATTTCCAGCACTTTCTGTGATGTAGTATGCTTGCTTATCATAGGAAGTAATAAGAAAGGACTCTTTACATTAAGGTAGTAGCCTAGTGAGAACAGGGTGTTGGGGGAATCACTTTTTTTTCTCTTTTTCATCAAACATCAGTTTTTGCAAGTTCCCGCAATTTTTGCAAGTTCCCGCAATTTCATCGCAAAAAATTGCATAAATATCCCGCATATTCCATCGCATTTTTAAAGAAAACGGGCCGCGTAATCAAGGATTTTTGCCCGCAACAATCACAAAAAAACTCTGCGTTTTTCTGGAAGGACTGTCTAGTTACGTCACTAAAAAAGGAAGTAGAGGGATGTAGTCCAAACCGGCCGTTCGCTCTAGGCTTTGAAAGGGGACTTCTGTTAAATAAAATATCTCGCTAGGCATTGAACTTTGAGCTTTATAATTTTACAGGTATTATTTATGCTCTAACAGCAACATTACACACTAATTAAAGTTTGAAAATGGAATCGCGAAGAACGGGACCTTTAATTAAGGAAGATTGAGTTTCTGCAAGACGGAACAACCGGAAGCTTACGTTTAAACGATGGTGCAAAAAAAAAAAAAAAAAAAAAATATTTCTGCCTCTAATGGACTGATGAACAGTTTAGTGAGCATCAAACAAGTGCCAAGGAAGCAAGCTTCTGTATTCCACTAAGAATTGTCACCTCTTTCTCCCATTGATGTGAAAGAAGTGCGGGCTTTTTTCTTTTGTAGCAGTACATGACTCATTAAAATTTTTTTATATATATGCCTGTTCTGTTTGTCAATGGAAAAAAAACTGTCTCCCTGAACATACCAGTGATTTTAAGGTTACATCACCAGAGTGGCTAAGGTTTGAAATGCATGCTTTTGTAATAATTAAAGAGAAGATCAATTTATTCAAACCTTTATTTAACAAATAGCAAATACACAACACATGGTAGGCTAGATAAATTCTATGACTCAATGGCCTTCTGCTCAAGTGGTTGCAGGAGACGTTTCACTACCAGCTCCCCTTTGCTGTTCAGATATGTGTTGGCCATGTCCTCCTCAGCAGGTAGTCCATACGGAAGCTTGAGGGGCTCAATCCTGCAGATAAGAATATTTGAATAGGTAAGTTTATTGTAATGGTCAGCAATCAACTGATTTTAAAATGTTATGAAATGCAAAATTCCCAACATACCTAACCAGATGCTTAATGGTTTTCAGTAGATTGTTAACTGAAGGGGTGTTCTTGTGGACACGGGGTTCATGCGCCTGGAGAAAAAGTTGTATTGAACTATTACATTTTAGTTGAGTGTGATACTATTTCATAAAGTAAATTTACCACATCCCACCTTCATTAGCCCCAAGCTCTTTATAACCTTCTTTTCCCAATATGGACGCCTCATTGTGCTTTTAACCCGTGTCACTATGTGTAATTTATGTGGATGTTCTGGATCACCACCGTACTTGTCATGTTCTTTTGCTCGTTCCTCAAATACCTGAAGAACGAGAAGATGGTGTGATGTTATTACATTAAATAAACTGAATCAGATAAAACGATGCATGTACATTTTGAACTGTCACGTACCTGTGGAGGGATGCGACTCTTAGTGAATTTAGTGCGACATGTGGCTTGTGTCAGATTCTGAAATTACATTTTTAAAAAGTTTATATTTAATGGTTTTTTTTTTTTTTTTGCAATTATCAAAATTATCACGGTTTATTCAACGAGGCTGATGTGAAATAACCTCACCTTTGTGACAGTGGAGGCAGATGTTAGAAGAGCTCGATACAATCCTGCCATTATCAGACGACTGGCTTGTGTTGAGGTGGGCGCTACCTAGAAAGGTTATTAGCTAGCAAGCTAGCTAGAGTAAATTAATCGTGCCCAGTACAGCACTCAGTAAGTGGACTATATAATGAACGTAATCGCGTCAAGGAATGTAAAGTTATTTACTCAAACACCCACGATATCTAGATATGTTAATGGATAAACATACCACAACTAACTATGCTATATTTCATGCATGTATGTATGTCAACTGAGTTGACCAGAAACGGAAACGACTCTTTTTTTTTTTTCTTTTTTCTTTTTTGAAAAAGAGTCATTTCAAAATAAAGGTTCCCCGATGCTAGTCCTTTCTCTTGTAGTAGTGGTCTGACTCACTAATCGGTTCTTTAGAACAGTTCATTATAAAGAGCCTGTTAAAAATGCATTCAGCGATTATGTTACCTATTACGTTCTCTTAAGCTTTCCAAAGCTTTTCCTTAAACACATAAGCACAAAAACGGTAACTCAGTCAGTTCAGCTCAGTGAGTTGTTTGTTTACTTAGAACGAATGGACTCCATACTGTTCAACAGATTCATTGAAAAGATTCGACTCAAAAGAACGGATTGAAAAGCAGTACTCTTCATTTACGAACCCCGGCCGGAAGTTCGTAACCTTTCAAGTTCACCGCTAGCCACTTTTCGTTTATAAACATGGGAAAGCGCGTTGCTGTAGTGTTGGCAGGGTGCGGTGTGTTCGATGGAAGTGAAATCCACGAGGCGTCTGCGGCTTTGGTTCATTTGAGCCGTCAGCAAGCTACTGTAAGTTTATTCGACTATCAGCTCTAAGGTTCTACACTGCATATAATGCAATAACGCAGACATTCGAAACAGAACATAATCCAGGAGCAATGCAATAAATAGTTTGTCTAAATCAATAAATGGCATGTTGGTGCTATTTTTATCAGTAAGCAACCAGTCGTGATCAGGGTCATTTGACTGCTTTAATTGGGATAACCGGCCCCAAAACATCAATCATACAAAAGAACATAATCATATCAACAGATGCATATTAAATGAGCTAGAGAGGGAGGAACACAAAACACATAAACTGCCAAAAATAAATGGTTTCTGAAACCTGCCAAGGCAGACTGCCTGCCAGCCACTGACAGGTCACATGACATACCAGTGGCGGCTCCTGCCAGCCAGCTGAAGATTGAACCCCTACTTGTCTGGACAAGTTGTCTTTTTCGTACATTGTTATAGAGGGTATGCGCATGACGTCACCGTCGGCCGGAGTGAAATGCGGTCACGCCCACAAGTGGCAAAAAGACTGAGCGGCAGCATTTGTTTTCAGCGTGAATGCCGTGAAAATCACACAAAACACATCTAAAACGGGAAAGAGCTTTGCGATTGACTGTACAACTAGATTTGACCAGAAATCTGAGGTACTGTATATTTTTACAGACTGCAAAAAGCTACAGAACAGACTATATTCTGCATAATTGGATGTTTTTAAATAAACACTGACAAAAAACTATACAAGTTTTAGGGCTGGACGATATGATGATATACAGTATAACATTAATGTAAGTGATCACTCGGATTTAGACCTATCTATATTGTATTTATATAAAACGTTTACAGGCAAATTGTCTTCATTTATTTCCCCAGCATCGAAATCAGGCACATATACATGTCAGGAAACACGATTCCTGGCTGCATGTCAATATCCATGGATCACTGGATCTTTGATAAGTTGTAAGGAACACTATATCGAGTCCAACTTTTAGTTTAAACTGATAATAGTTTGTTTTACTCGCGTTAACGCAGTTTCCCCTATTAACTCCAGTCACGCAGCAGCTCTTCTGCCACTCAGTCCCGCTGAGGGGGGCGTGCATAGACATAATAAATACATAGACGCCCTATTCAAATAGAGGTCTCTGCGGAACAACAAGAAGGTGTTTCCCAATTAATGGGCGTTTTCAAACCGGTCTAGGCATTTTCCAACCATCCAATCATAACCGTACGGATTCGGAAGCCCTTTCAGAAGCGGAAATTTTATTATAGCACTTTCAGAAGCGGAAATGCGTTATTATTATTTCTCGGGTTTTTTCTTGATTTTTACTATTATGTCTATATCGCGACAACATTTGATTTATGTAAAAAATAAAATACAGGCTACAACTACCTATTTTCTTTAAAAAGGAATTCTTTCATAAGATATAAAAAGGAATTCTTTCATAAGATAGTTATACAAGATCTGTATCTTATAACATAACGGGAAATTTGGTTTATGAAAGAATTCCTTTTTAAAGAAAATAGGTAGCTGGATTTTATTTTGACATAAATGTTGTCGCAATGTATATGTAAATGTTGTTATAGCCTGTGAGTGTGTATTATATTTTATAATATTCTCTCCTACCTACATGCAATTTTCCTCTAAATGTAAACCTTAAAAGGTAAAAGTATTAAAAATTACTTTATTACTCAACTATTTATAATTACATTAGTTTTATTTTCGTTTTGTGTGTGTGTGAACAACACAACATAAATCAAGTTGTAACGGTGATTAACAAGGAAAAATTCAATTTCCAATAAAGTTACCAAATCCTACTGTAAAGCAATGGTGAAAATTATTGTATTGGTCTTTCTCACCTGTATTTTTCAAAATATATTTATATGTAATGACTGATATTTAAGTGATATTTGTAGCTTACATTAAATGATATATAAAGTAAAACGTATTGACCTTTAAATTAAGGTAAAATGTGTTTACTTAGAATAATGACTCTGAAAACTTTAAACATTAGCATCACTTTATTGACCGTATAGATACTGTAACCAATATGATGAAAAACTGTATTGATAAATGCAGCATTCTCTATTTAATATAATAGTAAAAAAGAGAGCATCCAATAAAATAAAATAAGCAATAAATGTGGCAAGTTCAAACATGAGGAACACATTGCATGAAACATTAGATGCTTCCTCCACAGCCACATAGAAACAGTCTCCGCAGTATCCTGGGGAGTCATCAGAGCCATAGAACCCCTGCAACACACCTCTTTGCCCTCTTCCTCTGTAGCCTTCGCCACAGTCTTTGTATGTAGTATCAAAATGGAGACATCTGGATAGACTGTATGGAACCCTATACAGGTTTCTGACATTTTCACTGAATGCCTTCCAGTTCACGACACCTAAAAAAAAAGTTGTCAGCTGACCTCATCATTGTCTTAATATTCAACCATACATAACTGAGAAAAACAGAGAGAGCTGTAATTAACCAATCAGTGACACTAATAAAACTTACTGTCCAACCACCGAAAGTGAGCCTCTCGGCGGAAACTTTCCATGCTCACAATGCTGTTGAAGCACCTGCAGGTGAGGGCAAGGGAGCCAATTGCAACATCACCATCTTGAAGCACAACCTCCAGTAAGATTTCACGAAGGACCAGCGGAGGAAGCTATACATGAACAAAACATAATCTGAACTTCTTGTGGTTATAATGATTCCCTTGCATTTTATAAATTGAGTAATAACAAATACATGCCTCCTGTATGTTCAGGGGTTGGTCAACAGTTGCCACTATGAAGGGACAAATGAAGAACATCAGTAAATAACAGTCAACATTTACTATAAATAATAGAGCACCTCAAACAAAATAAATCATACCAGTTTTGTGTGGCTTGTCAGTCCGCCTTCTCTTTCTTTGCTGGATTTCCATGACCGATCTTGATAAATTTATGACATAAAAACACATTAATAATACAGTATATCAAGTTTCATTGATCAGGTGCTGCTGGGGCCAGCGAAGGAGTTTGTTGTGGTGGATCAGGTGCTGCTGGGGCCTTATTTTATGCCCAGCTATATGGGCCACTATTTGATGATAATGTCTGGGTTTACATATTTGAGATGTGCAGAAGGGGCATGTGAATAAATTAGTATCTGCAAGGTAGCGCTGTGGTTGAGGCTCTTGTCCTCTCCGCTGAATTGTCATGTGGTGAATAGACAACAATTTCATCCATTTTAATTTAACAAGTTTCCTCCACTGTACATAATTATGTTAGTCTATAGGTTTGACTACACATGTGAGGTATTAATGCCTGCACTGATATAATGAAGAGTGTTGAACATTGACTAGTGAGCTGATCTCACAGCTAAAAAAGGTCAAATCATGTTTCTATTTAAATCCAGGTGTCTGCAGAGGTTTTTGTTAGGGTTATGAGATATAATATAAATAACAGAAAAATTATAAATATTACATTAAAATTGATATTAAAAATAATAAACTTAACAAGCAATGCTTTTTCAGCTTTTCTTGTTTTCTTACAGCGCACCTCACACTCAAACACCATTTCTTATATGAAGGGAGTGGTTTCTGGACTGAATGAAAACGTAATTTATCCACAAAAAAAATTTAATCGTTTTTAATCATTTTTAATTAGACAGAATTTGCAGTTAGATTAATGTGCACAACACTTTCCTTAAAATGTATTTATAGTTATTTATTTTTTTATTATTGTATTTATAGAACATATTAGTAGGCTACCTATATCCCCTGGTTTCACAAACAATTTTAAAGCCTAGTCCTAGACCAAATAAGTCTGAGCTGTTCCAACTGAAATACACTTGCACTGACTGATCTTAAAATATATCAGTGTCTTTGTTTTGTCTCAAGATGAACACCAGTAATGTTTTTTTTTTCTAAGCACGTTTATGAAAATTATTTAAATGTCCTAATTGAACTATGGACTAATCCTGGTTTAGGCTAAACCCTGTCCCTGTCTGTGAAACCGGGCCATAATTCGGTGGAATAGCCCACTAATATTTGTTTACAATTATTGTTTTCTAGTCTGACAAGCTAACGTTAACTATTTTTTTATATTACAACACGCCGACAGTAAGCAAACTACCACTATCAACACTAAAGTAACAAACGCATGCACCAAAAAGTTAGCGAATGTTTGCTAATAGTGGTTAGCGATAGATTGTAAGTGGCAGACCTCTTGGAGCTTTTCTTAATCGTGTTGCAAGCAAGTTTACACAAACTAATTAGCGTTAACTGACGTAAAATGAGAATTTACACAAATCCACTTACATCCATATGCAGGACAGGTGACCTCTCTCCTCATTTCACCCATAGACTGTACCGTTTTCTCGCTATCACTAATATCTGAATATCTGATGGGGAAAGCGTATTCAAGTATCACCCACTCAAGTTTTAGCAAACCAGGCAGAGAGATTGTAAAACGCCTACCTGGTTGTAAAACGCCCCCAAATTGAGGCACGCCCCTTGTTGCTCTGCAGAGACCTCCTTCTCGCCCTATTGGCCGCTGGAGCGTACGTCAACGGCGCCGCCATGTTGGGGATGGCAACTTTCCCATACCTCTCATACCGGGAATTGAGGAAAAATGCCTGTTTTGTGCGCTGTTTGGGGCTGTACACATCGCCACACAATTGAAAACAGCTTTCGAGGAATTACCTTTCACAAGCAAGACTGAACGTTTGTTTTTGGTTGTATTTGGTCATGATTTAATTAGTAATAGTAACGTTCAGAGGATAAATTTAAAAATACTACTGTTATTGTGTCACGAAATGTAGTTTAAATAGTTTTTCAGTCGACAATGTAGTTGTTTAAAGCTCAAATATGTGGTTTGTTTATAAAGATAGCGCCTATTTAAAAATTTGATCTGACGTTTTCGGAGTTGTAAGATGCGCTCAGCGCTCGTCTACCCCGCCTGGAACAGCCGTACCTCGGCCAGTGCTTCTGAAGTGTTGCCGCTGGCTCGGATGTCTGTAGTCTAGTGGTTAAACATGA